TACACAAAGAAAAAAAAATCTTTAAATCTATGTCTGTTACTATAACAATCATATGCAGCTGTACCTATACTCTTTTGTTCCTTCCTAAGATATGTGCTGTCACTAATCTTCAAAGAGCAGAGAAATTTCAGATATTTTTTTTCCTGCACTTCTTTAGCTTTCCTATATCCTGGACTGTGGTAGTTTGCAAATAATTTGGATTGATTTTGAGTAAACAATTGAAAGATTATTCTACATAAGAGGGCTACTATTGATTGGGACAATTGATTAACTGGGTGGAGGCATGTATTTTAATATATGTTCTACAGTTGCTGTCTGTTGAGGTAATTCCCCGTTAGGAGAATGAGTGCACACAGGGAGACGTAGTGAGAGTGATGTTGAATAACACACGACCAGCAACCATACACTGAATAGTAAAATGTAGGTTTTACTTCCAGTAAACGATGAAGCAAATTCCAACAACCAGTCCAAGTCATACACGGTTAAAGTAGTCAGTTTTCAGCCAAGGGATAATCCAAATAACAAAGTCTAGTATCATACACAGTTCAGTAACAGGCTTACAGCAATCCAGGAAGGACGACGATCAGCAATAGTCAAAATGCAGGAACCAAGAACATCTAGCAGAACATCAGAACATCTAGCAACTAGCAACTAACAACAGAACAACCCAGGTTTCTGGCTCCATCTTATGGCCATTTGAGGAACCACACCCAATTACAATTTTAGCATTCCCTTTGAGACAGTATTAAATGTCTATCCTGGTTTATATATTTCCAACCCAACTGTTAGGTGACTATCAATTCTGTCTCCTTAAAGCAGTATGCTTGGAGTACAGCTTGAGATACGCCGGAATTTGGCTTCATTCTCTATACGTTATCAAGGGCCTCTGCTGTTTTTTTCTGACATAATAGCTGCCTCTTTACAATTAAAACTGCAATAGAACATTATAGTTACCTTTCTCAGAGTTATTGTTATATTTCTAATGTGCTCCTGAACAGTTCAGAAATTTTGAGTCAGAACACTATGCATACGATTGTGTTTATTTTACACGTTTCCCTTCCTGCTTTCAGTCCCAAGATAATTTGTAAAGAAATGGAAATTAAAGCAGCAAAATAAGACTGTCAAAAAGAATTGGATTAGTTTAAAAAATACATCAGATCAGAAAGATTATAAAAGAGTTTAAGATCAGGGAAATCATTTTATTTTGCCACTTGCAACAGGACGGAAGCAATTAAACTTTTGGAAGAGTTCCATGAACATACTACTGAGCAGTTTGCTTCTGTATCTCAAGTCTACTTTCAGAGGTAAAAGATAAAATTATTTCAAGTGGCCTAGAACTTTCAAGGCAATTACTAGTTTTAATTGTAGGGATAAGAGCTGTTACTTAACCTGAAAATTATGTGAAGATAGCACAAAAGAGATATAAACACAATGAAATAAATCTATTTATTTATCCACACAATGTGGATGTGTTATTTCTGTCCATATTTGAAATGTTCATGTAAACAATTTTTCAATAAGCCCTTTGAGATGTTGTATGTTATTGAACATCTTTACAGCTATTTTATTCTGCAGCTATTGCATTTATTTTTTGCTATAAAATAGTGCTATACTCTGCTTTACTGTAAGCTACAATACTGCATTTTACTACTTTACTACAAGTCAAATTGTGACCATACAGAAATACATCAAGATAAAAATAAATTTTACAAGTAGATATGATACAATATGGATTTGATTTGTGGTAATGGATATATGACTGGTTCGGTATACTAAAATAACATATCTAGAAAAGTACATATTTTAGATTTACATATATACAGTACATTGCATACTCCATATAATTCATTTGTTTTCTAATAGTTCAGATAAAATGAAGTGTTGAAATTTCTACTGAAATGAGGATGACTTTTCAAAAGACTTGAAACCTTCATGGTATGAGTGAACCAAAATAATTCATAGCAAATGTGTTGCCTCAGTTGTCTATTTATAGAAAATCCTGAAGATCAGCAGTTTTGAGACAGTGTAGTAAGAAACTTAGTTCTGTACTTATGACAAAGGTTTTGATAACTTCCTTATGCCTCTTTTAAGTTGAACTTAATGACTCAGTGGATACATCCATGCAGTTTTCTTGGCAACAGTATATTAGTAGTTTGCCATTACCTTCTGCTGGAAAGTTTTTCAATTTCCTAAGCTAGACCACAACCTTGGTAATTATCAACTTTCCTTTTAAAAATGAAGAGGCCTTTATATACAATTATGAGTGAACTGATTTTGACAGTTAATAGTATATAAGAAATTATATAAATATATTCTTGTATCATACACTACATTTCTATGACAATAAATATGGGCAAATACACTGCTATAAATGCTTTTAGGCAAATCTTATTGTTCAAATCTACATTAGTGGTTAATGTAGATTTGCCTCGGATTTTTGGATCAGCCCTCTTTCAAATGTTGAATCAATCGGTTCACCAAGGAGATGGAACAATGTATTTCCCCCCCCCCCCCCGCCCCTGTTTTTTATATAGTGTTTTTTTTAATTGATGGTGGCAAAGACAAGAGGTGATAAGAAATCCATTTTCTTACCCCCAAGACATTCATCCATAATAAAAATTAAAAGCCTCATCTGATTTAAGCAAAGACCCTCCTGTAACTGGTCACTGTAATTAAAAGAAGCAAACCAAAATTGTTAATCATCTAACATAGAGGTGGGAGCTATGGCCCCTTTATGACTTGTGGATTTCAACCTGAAGTCCACATGTCATAAAAGGGCCATAGTTCCCAACCCCTGATCTGACACATTAGCCTTGCATATATTTGTGAAGTGTTCAGTATGATTACTTTAAATATTAATCATAAAACCAGAATGCAAAATGAAGAATAAACTTGTTTGTGGATTAGGAATTTGTTTCCTGGCAGCCTGTCCTTTTGAGTCAAATACAACCTCTGCTTTTTGTTTTCAAGGTAGGATGTTAATTAATGAACGGATCGGAATGTATAGTGTTATGCAGAAATTAAACATATGTATTATATGTGCAGGTTGTAATCCTACAAATATGTGTTGACTGAATGCAAGTTATTTTAATAGCTTGATTACAGTTCATGAACCCCTGTACTTGGCTAAATCATGCAATCGAAGTTGATTAGTTTTGCTTCATGTTAAACTGATTACTTTACATTTTAGAGCCTTTTCCCATTTAGGTTCTATTCCTGGAATCATCTCCTTTAAATAAGGGCTCATTCCCTTGAAGTTTAATAACACACATACCTCAATTTTTGCAGGAATTCTGTGAAGGTAGAAAAGCCTTCTTTTCCATTATACTCTATAATTTATAGCAACTCCCCACCACCACCAACCCCTGGGCTGCAGAATGGTGCTGGCCTGTAGCCTGTAAGGAACTGGGCTGTGCAAATGCAAGTGAACCTTCATCTGCACATGCAAAGGATCTAGGTTGCACATGAAACCATTCTCTCCCCCCCCCCCAAGGAAAAATTATTTTCCGTGAAACTTCCCTGGTGCCAGAAAGATTGGGGACTACTGATTTATAATATAGATTTCCTATCATTAGGAACTATTTATAATGAAATATGTAAATTATTGTGTTACTGTTTACTGTTGTACATAATTTTAATCTACCTTTACTGCATTTGTTGTAAGAATACACTAAGTATAATTATCATTATTACTACCCCAGGGGGAAAAATGGACCTGGAGAAGTTTGAAAGATTTGGGATTATTTGGGCCAAGGATCCAATGTTTTGAAAGACAAGGAGACAATGGAGCACTTACTACAAATAGCCATGGCCTAGCCAGTTATTACTATTATTTAGCGTATGATGAGTACATGACAAAAGAAAAATAAACACATATACACAATCCACATAATTATAAGTAAAACTTCTATGGGGGTATGGCAGTGGCCTCATAACTGTTTGTCCAAGTCAGCTATTTAGGTAATTGCCTCCGAGTTGCTTCATTGTAGATCTTCTAGAACTAGGGAACCAGAGAACACACTTCATGGCCAATCTTGCACAATATGTTTAATAGTTTGCATATCAGCACAACAATCACAACAAGAGGAATCTTTCCATCCCCACTGATAAAGAGCAGAGGCACTTCTTCAGGTATCCTTGTAGTATCTTCCCTTATCGCACCTAATTCTGTTCAATTTCAACCAAAGCCAGGCAGATCAAAACCAGTGATTCTGTCAGATGAAAAGTGGATATAGGGATATAGTGTTACAAGTATTGATAAATTCAACGTTTTTATAGATATACTATAAACCCCCTTTTCACCACCGTTACAGAGTTTAGAATAAGAGGGTACAATGAGGCTGCTGCCCTTTTTTTCTCTTGTGAAAGGCCATTTTAGCAAACATTGGGGAGGGGAGCTGAGGTATGACTGGGCTAAAATTGAGAGGAGTCAGGGGTGGCCTAATGGTTCAAATAAAACAGCACTCGAGGCACAATGTTATTTTCCAGGGGCATTTTGCACTACTGTATATATCCTTGAGTTACTCTGAGAGGCATTTGATTAATAAAGTGCAACCAAAGAATTCGATAAAGGAAGTGGAACGGTGTTCCAAAAAGATGGGTGGCAACTCCTCCGTTACGGATCTGTAGAAAAAAGAAAAACTGTTAGGAGAGTAGCAGCGACGTTGAAATGTAGCTCCCCAAATACTGCGCCGCCGCCCACATCTAGCAGCACCTGATCCATCAGGGCTTCTCCCATAAGAGAACTTTCTAGGGCAGAAAAGTCAGTAACTGCTTTTCTTACCAAAACATACATTTAAACAGAATTTGAGGTATTTTTAAAATTACTCTTCAAATAGCTCTTTTATTCTTCTTCCTCCTAATGGTAGGTCCAGGTTTGAACTCTTGGGCTGGCGAGCAGGCAGCGGAGAGAAAAGGCGGCTTGCACGGGGGGGGGGGGGGAGCCTCTAAACGGAAGGCCAGGCCTCCCTCTCCAAAACCCAATGTCCAAAGCAGCCTCGCCCTGTCCTTAGAGGATAGAAAAGAGCTGCCCCCAGCCCAGTCTCTGCGAAGCACAAGCGAAGGAAAACAATGGGGTCCAGTTTCCTCCTTTTAGCCCTTCCTCCCTCTTGCTCTCTCCTTTCCGAAAAAGGAAAGAAGGCGGCCTAGAAAGCGCACGGCTGCCGCTCTTGCAGCTGCGGCAAGCAAGCCGCAAAGCTGTAGCCCCCTGCAGCCGTCTAGGTCAGCTCCCACCCGAAGCTCGCCGCAGCCACCATCGCCTCTCCGCCTCGTCCTCGCCCCACCGCTTCTCCCGACTCCACTCCGCTCGCAACTCCCCCGCTCACGTGACCAGCCCGGCAAGTTGGGCGCTGGGAGGGAGCGAGCCAGCGCGGCCGACGCCGCAGCAACAATAAGAGCGAGTGGCACAGACTGTACTCGGGTCAGGAGAAGGGAGGGCGTTTCTGTGCCGCTCACAAGCACTCCGGCCGAAGGGAGACGGAGCCTCTGCCGCTGCTGTTCCTGCAGCCATCGCCGCCACTGAAGACAGCTGCCCGCCCGCCGGAGCCAAAGCTGCAGCTTTAAGTGAAGCTTTCGTAGTCCTCCTTCCTTTGGTCCGCTCGGGCTCCGCTTGTTTGTGGGTGGGTGGACCGCCCCCTTGTGGGGCTCAACGGCTCCCTATACGCCCCGCCAACCAGCGGCGGAGGAGAGGATGGCGGATCGGCTGGAGCTGTAAGGGCGCCCCGGGGATCAGCCGCTTCCCCAGGAACAACGCGAAAGAGGAAGAAGCCAGCTGAGACTTGGCGGGAAACGAGAGGCGGAGATGGCTAACGAGTCGCTTCAGGTAAGAAGCCAGGCTCCTCGCTCCTGCCTGTATCTGGGCCGGAGAGCCGGCACACGGAGATTGTGAAGGAGTCGAAAAGGGCCGCCGACCTCCTGCCTCCTTTGGAGCAGCAACAGATGCGAACGGCTGCGGGACGCCTTCTTGCACCCGGTTCGGACTTCGCTCGGTGCCCTTCTCGCTCCTCCTGCCAGCTGGCGGGAGCGGTGGCGAACAGGGGCTGCTGACCATTCCCCGCATTCGGGCTGGCTCTGCGCGAGCGGCCCCGATCTTGGTACTGTCCTCCCCCCCACTCACCCCGCGGCTTGCTTATGTTTATCCTTCCGTAACCAGGAGGAAACGGGGGTGGGGGGACTTATGGATTCAAAGACTTAGGCTGCTTTTGCTGCTTGTTAGTGTGTATGTGTGTGGGGGGGGGGCTCTCTGTTTCATAAACACGAACATTTTGCTGTATTGATAAGGGAAACTGGTTAGTAGCATCTTTTGCCCGGGGAAGCCCATTAACAGATACATTATATCGGTGGGTATATGTGTCTATGTCCTCCTGGCTTGGGTGGAAGATTGAGAGGAGACTGTGTAGAGAAGACAGTCAACTTACTGAGTGCCTGCCTGCTACCTCTGGCCTTCTGTCACTCCTTCTCTCCAGAGGGACAGAAACAAGCCTGGTTTTAGATGGGAAGGTAGCAAATTAAAGACTTCATTTCTTTTGATCTGTTGAAGTAGACATTTCACAGGAGAGTAATCAAGTTCTCCAGGTTTGTTAACTTGACTAACTTATTTTGGATAGTTAAACGAAAAAGAGACCCGTGTCGTTCCCCCCCCTCCCCCCAAAAAATAAAAAAATAAAATAAGACCTTGGAAAGGAGTCTCCAACCAGGAGAACAAGCAGGTTCGGTGTAAGTAAGAACATGTACAAGAGATTGGCCAAACCATTCGTGTTTCACTAGCTGAGGGGGCAAGAATGTCCATCTGATCAGGAAGGAAATCTTGAGGCTGTGGCAAAAACATTGATCCAATGTACAGCTTCTGCGAAAGAGTGAATTCCACTATGTATGTAAAGATCTTTGGAAAAGGAACTGAAAATGCTACAATGTCTTTGTCTACTCCTGTCGCTGTGACCATACTTGGAATGCTGCTTATACTTCTGGTCCTGACATTTAAGAGGATATTGTGGAATTAGAGCAGTCAAAAGGCTCAGTGATTGACCCCAGTGAAAAAAAGCTACACCATTTTAGATTTTAAGCAAAAGGAGACTTGATAGCACATATGAAGTTAGGCACAGTACAAAGAGATTTAATAGGGATTTTTGTTGTTCTCCTAACATTAGAATTCTCCCCACCCTGAAACTGAATACTTTGAGATTCAGACAGAAAAAGAAATTGCTTGAAGGAGTGTGCAGTTAAACTACAGAATTCTCTACCACAAACCGTGGGAGATGGGGGATCCCAGTTTGAAAAACTTTAAAAAAGAAAACCAATTAAAAAGGTCCATGGATAACGATGATGACTGTGTATTATGAGGCCCTGTGTCTCTCTCAATAGGTATCAGTAGGTAGAAACATCAATTGGAGGGTGCTAGCGCATCCTAATCCTGTTGTGGATTTCCCTTTAGTATGGACCTGATTGGTAGGGTGGGCATATCAGAATGCTTGATCCAAAGGGCATTTGGCCTGATTCAGCCTGGCTATTCTTACCTGCTTCTGAGTGAATCTGTCAGTGCCATTAGCCTTGGAAATTCTATTCCTTCTTCCCCAGAATGGTAAAATTGAATGGGATCTTTCTTTAACTTCAGAAGTTCCACTTTAGGGCAGGCAAAGTAAGTGGAATAGAATATAATTCCCGTTGATTTTTGCTAGGATATATGATACATTTCCTTCCCTCTGAATAATATTGAAAGAGATATAATAACCTATCTTTACATATATGTTTGCTTTCTTTCTTATGATTGCTGCTGTCAGTTCAAGTTATTTTCCTGTCATAAAGCTGTTTTCATTTGTTTGGATTTATTTTCTTTCTTTCTGTGGTATCTGGGGAGTTCTCTTGAAAAAGGAGTTTAAAGTGCTGATGTAAGATTTTTAATCAGGGAGACATGCACAGACCATTTCCTGAAATAAAGCGTTTGCTAGGCAAATGTCATTGAGGCATTGTTATGTGGAATGGGCCTGCAATGGGGTTTTAAGGATTCAGCATATAAGGCTACCTGTTGATTGGAATATTTAAAGACTTTCTGGAACTGCTGGATGGAGATTTCTGCTTTGTAGCCAAGTTTTTTGGCCATTAGTCTGCTTTGGAAAGAATGGGCATCAGACAGTTTTCTTTACAGTAAACTGCAAGATGAGAATTATGGCTGGTATATGATTTGTTGCTTGCTTGTTTAAATGATCATTGCTAGCTTAAAAATCGATGTGCTAAAAACATTCTTACTTGTCTGTAGAGCTAACAACATTTCAATTATTAAAGATACGGTGCTGATAATCAAATCCATTACTGTCAGCCCTTACCTTGTACTGTCAACAGTCTATTGAGCTAAAAGGGACAAAACATCAGATTAAGCTTTATCCTGACATTGCATTTTATATTGTTTAGCTTGGATGTTTAAAATGAAGAACAATATTCTTAGACAAAGTACTTCAAAATATTGCAAAAATTACAACTATAAAACAAAGAGCAAGAGAACAATTTGTTTTGAGCTGCGAACTGGATTTCAGTCTCTTCAGATTATGAATGCATGTAAGGGTATATGAGAATGTGCTATATTGAAGGCATTAAATGAATGCATCCATATCTGTTTTTTTTTTTAAAAAATAGACTTAGAATTGTGCAGTTGGCTGCAGAGGAATAGAAAGTAGAAGTATTTCAAATAAGTTTTATAAAGTTCTTTAAACTTTAAATGTACTTTTACTTTCTGAATGACAATACAGTTTTTCAGCACAAGTTTACATGTTTAAATGTTTTTATATCTTTTATTGTGTGAAAGCTTTATTATTAAGGTTAGATCTTTGAAAAGTAGACTTTCAGTATATTGAATAAATTTTAAAATGTGATGTAAAATCTTGATATTTTATTAGTGAGACTGGGAAAAAACAAGCACTCACATTTCTTACCTCCAGATTGTGATATTTAAGATTTTTGTTTTTCATTTGGAAAAATAGCCATTTACTCATGAGGATTTGTAACATTTAGTTTAGATCTTTGTCTTTAAATGAGACAAATAGAAAAAAAGGGTAGCTCCCTTTTCACAGTTTAATACCAGTGCCTTCTAGACTTGTAAGTAAAAAAATGTGAAAACCTAATCTAATTTTTTTTTCTGGCAAATTTTTCCATTCTTCAGTTGGATAAAGTACTATTTCTTTCCTACGGGTACTTTGTCCAAGCATTTTTAATATAATGATTGTGTTCACAAGATACATTTACCAATGGCTTATTGAAACACTTCGTTTATTTCATTAACCCTATTTTCTATATTTGTATGATGTAATAGAACATTAGCTAATCGTATCAGCTGGGTTCACATGACAAATCAGGCTAAAATAAGATTGGTTACTTTGTGATTCAGAATATTGTAGAGCCATCTATTGTAAAGCATTATAGGTAAGATGTTACTATATTAGTTTACAACTAAGTTAGAATCAAATCAAGTTTTGTTTTTCTGCAGATTCATTTTTTTCCCTTCTTGTCTTAATTTAATGAATAACAAATCCCAGGCTTAGACAATTGCTAAAGAATTAATGTTTTAGGTATATTTGTAATAATTTAGAATTGCTTAACTTTATTTATAGAAATGTATATACAATTGGTTAAAGATAGATCAATATATGATTTAACAACAAGACAGGAAGACATAAGACTAAATTCACAAATCAGAGTAAAGGTTTGATAAAGTTGTAACTCGTCTGGCTGATGTTGTCAATAATCGGTGAAAAAGTAAAAACAGAGAAGCAGAAGCACCTGGAATTTTTTAAAAATAGAATTTATATTTGCTTATTATCTACATTTGAGGAAGTTCTTCTGATTGACCCCCCTCATGTAAGTTAAGTTGGGAGACTTTGAATATCAGGTTTTGACTAACAGCTAAAAATCATGTCTGCTAATAGCCAGTTAAGATATATATGGGGAAAATGTATCTATCAAATATAGAGGGCCACTGGGCAGTGTATAATATTAAAAATGGGAAATAATTTTAAAAAGTAGCTGCATTGATTCCAAAAGGAAATCTACTATCCACCCAAATCTAAGACATGGGAGGAAAACTGATTTCAAAGACTGATTAAAAAAAACACAATATGAATTTCTTCAGGAATGCTCTTCCAGAGAGTAAACTTCCTAGATCAGAGGTCTCCAAACGTGGCAACTTTAAGACTTGTGGCTGACTGGAGAATTCTGGGAGTTGAAGTCCACAAGTCTTAAAGTTGCCAAGTTTGGGGACCCCTGTCCTAGATGATCATCAGGTGACCTTGCTTAATTGATGGACCCAAAGCATGCCAATTTTGTCCAATCATACAAACGTAGAAATTATTGGAAATAGGCAATCCCTCAGATAGCCAGGCTCTATCTAAGTCTTGAAGGATTTTTGCAAATGGTAACCAGCACATTGAATTGCACTGAGAAGCTAATTGGCAACCAATGCATTTCATGGAATAGGGTATTACCTAGGCACATGAAGTGACTAGGGTGACTGACCATCGGGAGAGCCTCCCCAATCTAGAAGTGAGGGCAACTGGTGCAATAGAAGAAACTGTGCAAAGACCTTCCTTCCCTTAAAGCTAAGGCTCTGACAATCCAGAAAAATTCCTAAGCTACATACACATCTCAAATGAGGAAATACTACTCATCTAGGACTAAAGATGAAAATTTCTGGGACAAGAAGTTAAAGTATCCCCATCCTCTCTCAGTCTTGCTAGGATTGAATTTAAGTCTGTTCTGTATCATTCAGAGCCCTGAAGTCTCCAGATTCCAGAATCACTGGGATGGCCTGGAATTAAGACATAAAACTGGTATCACCAG